TGCTGCGGTCAATGGCGTCCCTGGCGAGGCGGCCAGGGGGGCGCGCGCTTGCTGGGGCGCTGGCTGACGCCGGGCCCGCGGCGAGCTTCGCGCGGGCCCTCGCGGCGCAGCCCCACTTGCTTTTCATCCCTTTCGACGCGGCGAGCCAGGCGGTGATGAGGCATGCCGCGTAGATTCGGCAGCAGCGCGCGGTGCTGTCGCAGGCGCAGACCGCGCAGGGACGCATCGACGACGCGCTCAGCGGCAACCCTTGCCTCGCGATGGCGGGGGGGCCCATCGCGGCGGCGCGGTAGTCTCTGCAGCGCATCTCCTGGAAGACAGTGTCGGACCATAGGACGATGGGCGACCCGGGCCAGCCTGTTTGATTCCTCGCCAAAGGCCCGCGCGCTGTTAGGGGCGCGCTGCACGACGGGGCGCGAAGGTGGCACGCGCGGCTGTTGCAGGCCCACGCCGCAGAGTGGAACGGGTAGCAGCTTCGGGCCAGGGCCATCACAGCGACGCTCCGTGGGAAGGAAGCGGTTGCGTGCTGCGAGCAGCGCGGTGCTTTGCAGCGCCTGTGGGCAGGCGCCGTGTGCCCGCGTGGCCAGCGGCGCGCGCGCGGCCTCGCCCCTGGCGAGGCTCGTCAGCGCCGCGGGCGCCCATGCGAGACGCATGGCCGCCGGTGGGATCATTGCCCAGGGCTCGCGCGTCGCGCGGGCGACGAACCCGCGGGCGCCCCGTCGCCCCCAGCGCGCACGCTGCGCGTGGACGTCTACGAGGACATGCTGAGATGCTCGTTGGACTGCCCGGCTACGATGCTCTCGAGCTGGCGTCGCGCATCCTTGCGGCGCCGCCGCGCCCGTCTCGACGCGCGGTCGTCTCTCGACGCGCGGTCCTGGGGGGGGGGCGCGGCTGAGCGGCGGGGCGCGGCGTGCGCCGACGCGGGTTGCTTGCTCGGACAGGTGCCCGAGATCCAGGAGGTCTCCTGGGCATGGCGCAGATCGGCGGCGCGGGCGGCGCCCCCCTCGGGGCACCGCGCCCAGGCGAGGGCGCGCCGTCCCGCGCGGGGGGGTTGTCTTGCAGGCGCTGATGGCTGCGCCAGGTGTCGATCACGCGGCGTATGTCCATCTGCCGAGCGATCGCGACGGCACTTCTTGGGAAGCTCAGGTGGCGGAGGCAGACGGAAGGCGCGCCGACACCCATAGAGGGAGACGTGCAACGCCGTTCCAGCCAGGCCTGGCGAGCAGACGCGGCCCCCGCAGTTCACCTGGATACCGTCGTGCAAGTTTCCGGAGGCGGCGGTGGGCCTCGGGCGCGATGGCATGCACTGGCTCGGCAGCCTGTGGGCTGACACGTTCGCTGCGTTTGCCGCGCTGGGGTTGGAGCTGAGTGCCAATTTTGGGAGGAGCATCGAGATGCGCTTTGCGGCGGCGCAGCAGATGGCGGGGTTCGGCGCTTGGACGGCCAGTAGGGTTGCCAGGGCAGGGGCGCCGGGCCCCTCGCCCGTCTCGCAGAGAGTGTCGATTCTCGAGGCGACTCCGCCAAGGCTCGGGCTGATCGAGCACGAGTGCGTCGAGGCCACCAAGCACAGCAAGCGAGGCAGCGGGCAAGTTGGCGCTCGTTGCGCCACATGCGGCCAGGTAGCCTTCATCAGGCGCTCCAGGCGCATACTAGGCACGGCTACATTCAGGCCCACAGGCCTGGGGTGATCGCGCACGGCTGCGTCAGATGGGCTCGCACTGGCCGAGGCGCCCAGAGACGCGGCCCGGCAGGCGCCCGCGCAGTTCCCCACCGATTACGCCAGCGCAGCGCAGCGCCTGCTGCGGGCAGCGCCGGGCACAGCCACGATCGACGGTGACGGCCAGAGAGAGGCGCAGCCTGGGGGTAGGTCCAATGCCGTCGAGGCCGTCGGAGTGGGAAACGCCCCATCGGCCGAATCTGCGGCGTCGCCCCAACGCCTAGCAGGAAGGGTCAACGAAGATGATTTTTACTCCTCGGCCAACGCCGAGGCGAAAGGTGGTCAAGGGGGCCCAGCGGCTGAAGCCCCCGCTAGGACATGCCAGCGCGCCCGCTCACCACTATAGCCCGAAGGGAGGCCAGGAACGCAGCTGCGACCCGCTGGCGGCCTCGCGAGGGCGCGCCGCCCGCGTCGCCCGCCGCAGGCTGCGCCTGCCTACCAACAGGGGCCCGTGCCTGCGCGTCGAGCTGAAAGTGGCGAGACCGGCGGGGCGACGGGTCGAGGGCGTCGGTCTCGGGGGGGGGGTCGGGCGCGGAGAACGAGCGGGGCCGCTTGTGCGAGCCCTGCGTGGCGGAGTTGCTGCAGCGCGCGCGCACTTCGACTGGGCCGGGGCGGCCGCGGGCCTCGCGACGGAGCAGTTGGCGGCGGAGACTTGCGTTCGCGCATGTCGTCGCGGCGCGGCCGGTCCATGGAGGCCCCCTGTCTGGTCCACCTCGTTCAATCGCCGGCGGCTTCGGGATGCAGCCATGTTGCGCGACGCTGAACGCAGGACCCCGCGGGCGCCCATGCGAGACGCATCGAATGTTGTCCCGGCGCAGGAGAGCGGGCGCGGCCAGATGCGCGCGCTCGACGGCAGGCGCGGAAAGCGGCGAGCTGGCGATCTCGGTGTCAAAGGACTTTCTGCGAGGTGGCAGCAGCGGCAGTGGGCCGCAGTTCAGTCGGAACGCTTCCCCGCGGGGACCGACTCCGACCACGCGCGGGTGGCTCTCGCATTGTGACGGGGAACGCCCTGGGCGGAGCACGGTTGCCAGGGCCTTGGCGGAGAGGCGCTTGACAATGCGAAGGGTGCGGCGACGTCTGGGGACAGGGGGTCAGTCTGCGCGCGGTCCTCCGACAGTATTTTGGGGTCGTGGCTCGGCTCGGCAGGGGGGGGGGGGGCCTGGCCTGGGCCGAGGCCCCCGGGCCCGACGGGCCCGCCGGCGTGGCCGAGAGGCTGGCGCCCCGCGCAGGCGGCGACGGCGACCGGGGGGCGCGCCGCGGCCGCCGCGGCAGCCTGCGGGCGCGCGCCGCGGAGAACATAACTTGCCCGCGCGTTCGCGAGGCGCGCCAGCAGCTGCAGCACCTTCGGGACAAGCTGCGCGAGTTGGCCAGCTGGCGCACTGAGGCTGATGGCCGCGCCGGGTGGGTGGCAGACTGCGCGGCCCGCGTCATGGCGGCGCTCCACGCTGAGCAGCTCGACGCTGTAATCCGCGAGCTGGACGACCGCGCCGCAGTATGAGTTGGGCAGCGGATCGCGAAGGAGGTCCGCGCTGGCGCCTGCCGCGAGATCAGCAGAGGACGACGCGAGGGGCCCCGATTTTGAACTGACGCGGCTCGCCAATTGCTGGGAGGCGCCCGCGCCCAATGGGCAGCCGTGCGCGGCGCCGCCGCCGCGCCGCTCGCGTTCGCCACAGCCGCCGGGGCCGCGGAAGTGCAGTCGGTCGTGCATCCTACACAGTGGCAGGCAGGGGCATGGCGACCCCGAGCAGCGCGGCCGCGGCGAGCGGGCACCCCCGCTGAGCGCCAGACAGGTGGGCGACGAGAGCGCGCGGCAGCGCGGCGATAACGGCGGCGAGACCAGCGGGGGCAGCGGGCCAGCAGCTTGCGCCCCGCGCGGCAGCTGCGCTGGCGGCCGCCGCGGCCACGCGCGATGGCAGGCTCGATGAGAGCGACGCCCCCCCGCGCAAGGCCCGCCGACAGACTGCAGCTGGCAAGGCTAGCAGTGCCCCCCAGCGGCGCCGGCGCTGGGGCCCCAGCGCGCTCCGCCGTCAAACGCGCTCGTCGCGCCGCGAGCGGGGGCGGCGAGGAGCGCCCAGCCAGGGCCAGCAGAGCTGAGAGGGCGGTGGGCGAGGCAGCCGCAGACAGCCCCCCGCGCGCGCCACCGCCGCGCCTGACCCGAGCGGATTGCGGCGCCAGCGGGGGCGCATGAAACCTCGCCTCCTCCCGCCTCGATCGAAGCGTCGGGTCGGGGGGCGGGGGTGGGTCATCTCGGGCACGTGCTAGTGGTCTGTGGGCGGGCAGTTTTGCCCGGCCAGCGCGGGTTCTGCGTCGCCCGAAGGGAAGGGCGAATTTGCCAGATATTTCCCACGCTGCCCAGTACTTTCGCGTGCGGGTGCATCACAAAGTGGAGGGCCAGAAAGCTACATTCCCGTTCAAAACGGACCTCCACCATTCGCTGGGTTGAGTGATCGGCCTGGGGATCGAGACGCTTGTGGCGGTGGAGGGGGGGCCCTTCGTGTCAGAGGCGGCGCCGAGGGGGCCGCTAGAGAGAGAGAGAGAGAGAGAGAGAGAGAGACCGTCGCGAGTTCATCCCAGCCCCTGGGCGATGAATTCGAGGAGGCGCCTCCCCCGCCAGCCTGAGCCAGCAGTAGCAATGTGAATGACAGTGACAGTCGTGTTGTTTTGGCTAGCATACCCCCGATGTTGGCAAGTAGTGAAAGGTTAGCAGCATTGGTAGCAGCAGGAATTTTTACACATGAGCAAATCACTCGGGCAGCAAATCGGCCCCCAGCTAGTCATCCAGAAGGTTTCGCAGCGACATCCGCTCCTGAGATTCGTGTAGTTAATATGCCTTCGCGTCGTGGCAGACGCGGCCGCACCCAACGGAGGGGGGGCGGGGGGCGAACTCTGGTGGGTGGGGGAAAGGACGCGGTCGCCGCGCCTGCTGCATGGGCCCTTTCGAGGGCTGCGTGCCTATAGGGGCGCCCATCGACCAGTGCAGTCTGCGCTGTGAGCCTGAGAGGGGCTCGCATCGGTAGTCGTCTGGTTTCGAGGGAGCCCTCCCAGAGTACGGTCCAGTTTTTCGGGCTCGTGGTCGGTTGCTTGACAGGGACTCCACGAGGATCTGCTCTGCTCTGCTCCTCCTCCTCCGCCTTCTCCTGCTCCCTCCCGCCTCCAAGTGTTCCTCCTCCTCCTCCTCCAGGTCGTCGTCTTCCTCCTCCTCCTCTCCTCTCCTCCTCCTCCTCCTCCTCCTCCTCCTCCTCCTCCTCCTCCTCCCGCCCCTTCCCCCGCCCCCCGCTTGGAGGCGAGCAGCGGCGCGGGAGAGGAACCGCAGATCTTCCTGTTCGACGAGGAAGCGGGGCGGGCGGGGCGCGCACGGTGCACCCCTCGCCCCTCGCCTTAAGGTCGAGAAGCACGGCCAGGCCGAGGCATAAGACCGAGGTCGGCCAGGAGGGGAAAAAACACTTTTACAATCCAGGTGGAGCCCAGCGGCGAGAACGGGTGACGAGCGGAAGGAGGGGAACAAACACACACACACAATTAATCGTCGATTCCCTTGAATATTTGGGGAAATATAAGAAGTGGGGGGGAAGACGAAAACCCATAACATATCATAAAATATGGGGCGTCTGGTTAGTTGTGTCTATTCACTTGTCCTTCAGTCGGTTCGGTGAGGGTATCCTGATGTTTTTCGTGTCTGTTGGATGTTCGTGTGCATCCTGGGGGGATATCCTCGAGCGGTCTTGTGGTCGGGGCTGGGGGCTATTACGTCCTAGGTCCGACCGTATCACCAGTTGTGGGTTTCGCAGCCCATGTCAGCGTCGGTTGGTGCAGGAGCTTTTCTGGAGGATGCGGCAGAAGGCTGAGATTGAGGAGCTTCCCGATTTGATGGTTGATGAGATTCGTTCGGCAGTTCCCGTTTTCTCTTCGTCGCATCCCCCACAATTTTTCGGTAGCCATTTATGGGAGCCGCGCATGCCCTCACAATTCCGTCTTTCGGCACTAGCGTCGATTTAGCGTTGGGTAGTCGATGAGACAGCGCCAGTCTTGCGTCGAGTTCGCGTCCACCAAATTCGATCCGCAAGAGCCAACAAGATGGTATGCGAGACTCTCAGGAGCTGCCATTGAACATCATCCCTCTCAGGAGGGAAAGAAACGCACCGACACGATGAATCGTCGATTCCCTTGAAAATATGGGAAAATATGGGACGTGTGGGGGAACACACAAACCCAGGAAATACGTGAAAACATGGGGCATCCTGTTATTTGAGTGAATTTATTTGTGTGCCCCAAGGCCCCTTCATCCCTCCTCCTCCATCCTGCCAAATCTCCCCCTGCCCCCTTTGCGGACCCTAACATCCCGTCAAGGGGGCAGGGCCCGAGTCCGTGTTGCTTCTGCCGCCCTCTCGCTGGCGCCCGGGCGTCGGCGCTAACATCACCGGCGTTGCCGCCGTTGTGCTTCAATCTGGCGAGTGCCACCCTCACGATTCGCCCGAGCGGGAAACCTCTTAAGCAAGAAACGCGCGCGCGCCCCCCACGGATTTTGTTCGTCACAGGCTGGCATTACTGATGCTGTGTGTACGTCGC